TAATAAAACAAGTCTACACATAAAAAAAAATATATATATATATTTTTTTTTTCAAATATGAATCAATTTTATTAATGTAAATAAATTGAGTGATTTATAAATATGTATTTGAAGTTATATTTAATGTTAATCTGAACATTTAATTTAGATATAAGCTATTGTACTTTTAAAGCTTATAAAATACCAAAATGATGATTACCTTCTTTTTTCCACCAAAAAATAATGATTCTAATCAAAGAGCTTATGACTGGTAATGTAAGTTGTAAATTATCTAACATTAGTGAACTGTCTCCAAAAATTTTCATTAGAGAATGTATAGAAGGAATAAGAATGCAGACTGTTAATCCTAGAAACACCACCAGCACTCGAAAATTGCATATTAATTTCTGCCAAGGATTTTGTGCAGTCGTAGGCCAAAGTCCAATCAAATTTAAAGTGAAACGGTTTAATTTTACCGCCCATTCGAAATCTACTTATAGAAACCTTGATAAGTACAGACCTCACAAAATAGGATTTGTAATACACAATTTCAAATACACAAATGTATTAATAATTGAATCAAACGCACTGTGTATGTACAATAGTTTAAAATAAGATATTTTTGTACTAATCATGTAACTCTAAAAGATTATTCAGCAAATAATAAATAACTGATAATAAATAATAGTAATAACAACAAATTCATTGATATAATATAGACTTTTTGTTAACAATAAAAACATAAAACATAGATTATAGATGATACAACCATTTGCACACATTCTTATTAAGGTATTTTCCGAAGACTCTTTTCATATATAATTAAAATAATTGAAATTTATATATAAGCACCTTGGTATCCATTATATTTCGAACTTTTCATGTCTAATGTTATTTAAAGACTGACGTCTATTCCTTTTTCATGAATCGACGTTACCTCCTATGCAAGGAAAAAGCACTTCTTGCGCATGCTTATAATATTGCTTCTCGAAAGTATCGAACTATCAACTTGCAACAAGGTATTTTAAATATTCTGTTTTTTCTCTTATTTTAAATTTCCATCAAGTTATATATCCAGATATTGTCGATTATAAAATGCGCAGAAAACAATTGCGAATAAAAAATTGCAGAATATCAGATGGTGATATAGTGATGGAAAAAAAACATGCATGAGTATACGCGTATCGATTAATATTTCCATACTTATCTGTAATCCTCTGTTGTGTGTGAGCTGCAGCTTTTAGTATATACTGTAGTATAGAATTTATTATCGTGTATCGCTTTTATGGGTTTTTAATTTTTTAAATAAATTTGTTAAAATTTTATTATTTGTTTTTATATATATAGATCATCTTTAAATCTAAATAATATTTATGACTATTACTATTATGGATAAAATAAAAATATTTAGTATACACTAAAAGAAAAGATTGGCTGAATATAATTGAATGCAGTAGCTAATTAAAAATATTGCCATATTTTAATTTGCTGCAACAGCCAATCTTTTCTTTCAATCTATGATAGTATTTCGAGAATTTTGGATTTTTGAGTTATATACAATAAAATTATATACAATAAAATTGACCAATAATTTAATTTATATCGGTTTGTTGTCTATTATTGATTTCTATAACTGTGATACCATAATTCTTACTGAAGCTCTACTTTTACATTCTAGTTTTATGTGTGTATGAGTGTATGAGAATAAATAAATTTACATATGATATTTAAATGTAAGCAATAAGGAAATAAAATTATCTTTACAAATTAATATTAATATCTGAAATACAAAAATTAATTACAATTGTTATACTTAAAGAAAAAATTGTTGCAGCAAATTAGATGGTCAAATATGACATAGCCATTTTTAATTAGCTGCCAATTTTTGGTTGTGTTAATCAATCGAAATCCTATACTGACATTGCGGGTAGAACATTGCTAACACAATCAACAATTGGCCGCAGCAACCAAAAATTGTTGCAACCAATTAAAAAGGCGATGCCATATTTTACTATCTGATTTGCTGCAATCAATCTTTCTTTTAGTGTAAATAATAGGTATTTTAGTGTAAATAATAGGTAATTATAAGTTGGTAATAGTAGCTGTGAGCTTAAATGCGACAGAACATATATCTTTGATTATTTGTAACAAATTATTACATTATGAACATTTATGTATTGGAATTTTGTTGTTTTCAACTGGGATTGAAAATGTGCTGTTAAAGAGTACAAGGTTATATATAATTTTGTAATCTATATAATATTATAAAAATAAAGAGATTAATATATAATGTAAAAAATGTAAAATTAATTTAGTTGGAAGTGATCGCAATATTTTGCAATAAAATATACCTATATATTTAAACAGAAATTCAATATATAAATATTAACATTTGTAATAAAACTTTGGGAAATCCATTTTAGAAAAATCGATGGAACAAAAAATTGAGTCGTTGGTGTTCAAAGTTGTTCGTTATATTGTCAATGATTTGTTCGTCATATTATCTATAATTTGTATTAATTGGTACTCGAATTTAAATTTTTTTGAGCTCCCTTACAAGTAATTCTGTCGACGTTCATGTTTAATAACACGTTATATAAAATAAATGATTAAGTTAAAAAATAATTTTCATGAGAAAGCATTTCTTTAAATTATGATTCTCTTAAAATTAAATTAAATTTACATCTGTATTATTACTTAAGAGAATAGTGGTTTAGTCTATTTAATTAATGCAATAAGATATATTTATTTATAAATCATATGTCAATTAATTAAATTGGTTTTCAAAAATTGCATGACGTTGAAAAAAATTTTACATGCTTTCATTTTTATTATTACCTTCTTGTTGTATGCAAAACGGATATATACCCAACAGATGTTTTTATTAACTAAAAAAAACAAATTTTTAATGATAATATGATTAATAATTTAAATTGAATAGTTAAATAATTATAAAGTTTGATTAAAATAAGACTGTACACGTATCTAAAATGAATAATTCAAATTTTATGTAGATACTATAGACTTTAATTACATTTTCGTAATCTCGAATAATATTTTAATATACTCAAACATTAAAATATCTTACACTGCAAAATGTGGCCATTGTAACAGGAGACACTTTTCCAACAGTAAGACAAATTTGTTTAGAACCTCTTGTCATTAAGAGCAATAAATCTTCTGTAACTTTTGGATCCATAGTGTACCATTTATTACTATATGCCGCATAATATATTTTATTGCACTTAAAATATTAAAAGTTTTATTAAAAAATATTAAAATATTAAAAGTACTTTTAGATATCAACTTTATATACATTGTTTTATATATAAATAAAAATTAAATTAAACATATATTATATATACAGTAGTATATAGTTAACATGCAAAATTATATAACATCATTTTATCTAATAAAATAAAATATTATATTACTACCTGAGCCACTAAAATTTCGCCAAGGATGCAATATAGGCACATGTGCGTAAATATATTGATAACAGTGGATATGAAATAAATTGAATGAGTGATCGATATATTATTTCCTTCATCAAAAAGCTAATTAAGTTATGAAAAGTATAAATGAAAAAACATAATTATTTCTGTTATCAATGTTAATATTAAATTTTGTAATAATGTGTAAGGAAGAGGAACACAAAACGGCTTTATTAACCTGTCTCCTTTAAATATAATAATTTATTAATTATAATTTTTAAAGTGTACACCACTATTCAGCAGGACAATTTAGACATAAACATCTTTTTATTTAATTTTTAGATACAATACTTACGCTAATCACTCGAAATCCATAAAAGGCGAAGAGTATCGCGAAATATATAAATAAAGAGAGAAGTATTCCATTATAAGTATCTTCAATAATATCAATAGCTCTATAAAAGATATTTATGTAGCAAATATATTTAAGCACATATTTTGTGTAGATTATCTTATTATTATTTACGTGTACGTTTTCTTACAAATAACGAACCTAAGCAAACGGATATGTTTTGTTAAGCAGAATTTTAGTATTTTATGATAATTTATATATTTATCCAAATATTGCATACGATTCTCAAGAATGTCTAATTGACCGGATATATGAAAAATCACAAGACTTAGAAAATTGTCTACTGCACAATAGATCATCATAGCGATAGCTACGTAGATAATTTGACCAATAAGTGTTAATTCATATTGAGGCCTTTTTGTTATATCGTAAATATAATGGGTTTGTAAAGGCATTGGTATCTTTCCTGGGTCAGTAATATTAGGTGTCAGTCTTACTGAC